AATAATGGGGATTATCTATAAGAGGTTAATGACTATAATTGATCCCCCTAATTCCTTTGAAATTGATGGGATTATGAGGGATAAGTTTTAGTCATCAACTTCTTATTCATAGTCTTCCTTTGTCCTCCAAATTAGACAATAATATCTATATAATGCCTTGATTGCACATGAATGTAGATATTTTGCTAGTCTAATCTAGTCTAATCTTTCCTAACAAACGAGACCGAAATACCAAGTCTAGTTCCGTGCCGTCACATGTTTGAGAGGGTGTAATTTTGATTATTGAGAAACGTAAAAGAATCTACTAAAACAGTTGCTATCTCCATGATATTTCTATGTCCTAGAAAAGACAAGCGATGAACTAGTCCATCAATTTTTTCACATACCCAATTGAGAATTAGCACGACATAAACTGAAAGCAGCCAGACTTGTACAAATATCCATAGCAGAAATGGGCTTTCTGGAACAGAATATGGGCTTTTTGGATTCAATGCAACCATAAAATAATGACTTGATGCGTTGGTCACTACATGCAACAAAACATAAAATCTAAAGACAGATGAATTGTAATTAAAAGTTTATATATTAATGGATTTAATAGATGTCAAGAAATCATTGGCTGCTGATCAAATTAGACAGCATATAATTGAAGTGTAAACTTTGATTATCACTTGAACACTTCATCTCTCTTTATCCTTTTTTTTGCCCCAGTTGCTCCAAAAGCTGGATGGAACTACTATTTATTTATTTCTGTCTTTTCAGTAGTTGTATCTGCCACTTCTCAGATCCTTCTTTCCAAAACCCAATTGTTATGCAGAAGATTCAAAACCTTTTTAAGGGTATCGCTGCTGCTTCTGGTGCCACTGGAAGGGCCATGAGCTGTTATGTTTATACTTGGAATTTTTATTGATCATGTTTACAAGACATTGACAAGCTTAAGAAATCTATCAAAACTCAGCATATCCCAAAAACAACAATCATTGACATTAACTGAGTTGCAAGATCAGAAGTTCTTACCTAATAATAACTTGGGTAGTACTCTTGAAGACTAGTAATACTAAAAAATGACACGAAATAAGCTGCCGACATTGACCGGAGTGTTTTATAAATGCGCAGATGGAAATGGTCACATGACACTGCTACGTCGATATAACCCTAGAAGGAAATTAGGCCCGTTTGGATCCTATGATTGGATTTTGAATTTAGATTTCTGATCTATGAATTTTCGCAGCTGATGTAGCACACAAGGGGGGGCAATGATGGTCAATGACCCCTTGCAATATATCAAAGAAAAGTCTTCGGAATAGAGACATGCAGTGAGACAAGTAACAGCAGAAAGAAAATGTTGTGGAAGAAAAGTTATGAAAAGGAGTGGGGGTTATCAGGGAAACTAATTAATAATAATAATTTGATCCATGAACAGTAAGTAGATTGATATTTTTTTAGTAGTGGGGTTAATCAAGCTTGTTTTGGCTTTTGCACATAAAATTTCTTCGAAGTGATGATCATGAAAATTGATCAGGGCCAAAAGAAGAAGGAAGGATGATTATGGAAACTGTCGGTAACATTACTATATACAGTAAAATTTATAATGGACTGGTGGTCCATCATTCTAATTACATATTAATGATGATCATGGGAAATTTAGTTGACCCTTTACTGCATAGAAAGCCCGGATTATGATTTTGCCCCCCTTAAGCATATGAATTAAAAATTCTAAACATACTCTCTTTCTTTTGTTAAGAACTTTCCTTTTTGAGAGAGGCGATAACATACTACACGAATGTTAGGACTCGAACTCAGGACCTTCTTTGAAAGAACAATTACTCTACACCATTACACCAGTGGGTATTTGTATAAACCTACTTAATTAATTTGCCAAGGCTAGAGCATCATTTGTGTATAAAACCCCAAAAGAAAGACAGTGAACAGTAAACTGATGACTCATACAAAACAACAAAAGAAGAAAAGAGTTGAAAAAAAAGTTGGGGATGATTTAACTTGTGAACTTGTGATGAGGGGCATGCTGCTGTCTGTTCTGTTCAGCCATGGGAAACATGCAGATCTTATAAATATTTGGTTTTGGATTAATATACACTTATTCATTATACCTTTGAAAAAATTGTGGATGAAATGCTGTTTCTGACGTAAGTTGGTATGTTGAGGTACTTAAGCCCTTTCCCATTAGCTTCCACTAGCAAACAATGTATATCAAGCTTATATATTCCTCCCCGTATAGGCATATATCCTAGATAGACAAATAGAGTGACATACAACAATACATATAGGTGCAACCCCACTTTTGCACTTGCAAACCAACAAATTAGGAAGTGAAGAACGAAGGTCGAATTCAAGAGACCCATGTGGATAACTATTAACTCTAAGAGCATTCACAATGGGCTTCCTAAATCATTTTTTTAGACAAATTTTATAGAGGAATTGGAAAAATACAACTCCAACCATGCTCCTTATTCACCTCCTAAAATAGAGAGACTTCTAGGAGCTCCTAAATCCGAAGAGGGAGAAATAACTCATAGTGGCTCCCTATAATTTAGTCCTGCTTTATTTAATGAGTATATCAAACCTTTAATTAATGTTAACTATTTTTTATATTATTTTTTAATAGAGATGGACCAATTAAAAAAGAGTTATAACATTTATGACTCTCTAAATTAGAGATATTTTATAGAGAGTTCTTAAATTAGCTTTTATATGTTTTTAGCTAAATTTAACTAAAAAATAGAAAGTATGATTGTGAATGATCTAAGGTGTTTGGTTCGTGGGAAAAAAAGGCTTGGGAATAGGCAATCATTTTCCCTCATTTTTCTGATCTAGACTTACCAAATATGAAAAAGGAAATGATTTTCCATTCCCAAACTCCTTTTTTTCCCGCAAACCAAACGCCTTCTTAGTACTATCTTATTCTGCGTAGGGAGCTATCTAATCTTAGCTTGTCTGAGTAACCTGGTGTATCACTTGAACAGGACAAGCTATAAATTCGGACTTGCGTTGCATCTGATAAACACTAAAAAAATCGTATGTAAAGAATGCACGCAAAATTTTACTTCATGCTCCACAAGAAAAATGGACTTTTCGACCAAAACAAAAGAAAAGGACAAAGGGACTTCTTGAAGAAAACGAGAAAAAATTATAACTGCTCTCTCAGTGCATCAATGATGTTTTTTCTCTTTAATGCGAGAAAATAACTAACAGACCATCAACAATGATGTTTATAGCGGGGCCAGGAGAGACAATTTTTACAATTGTACGTGAAAGGTGGGCATGGTGGAAAGATCAACAAGTTGGTTTCATTCGATATGGAGAATGTGTTTGCTTTCTCTCCTCTGATTTGTCTGCTTTGCTTTTCCACGTGATTTTCTCCTCAGATATATTAATCTATGAGGAAAAAAAAGGATTAACTAAGACAGATGAATAAGGAAATGCAAGAAGGGGCAGGGAGGAAAATCATGAAAGCAAGGATATCCAATCACCATCTTCTTCGTTGACACCAAGAAAATATGATTGACAACCTCAAGCAACGGTTGAGTGAAGAAAAGGGCAAAATGCCGCCTATTCTGAATATAACTGGCATCAAACATAGAAATGTAGAAATTATGTCCAACAAATGATGGGGTTACCTTTAAATCATTAGGCCTTCCCTCTTCGGCCTTCCCGCATATGGACATTATCATTCATCCTCGATATATGAATCAACTGTATATGAATTCTTTGATGTGTCCGTCACACTGTTACATGATGTATAATAGTACCCCACTCATGATATAATAAATATTATGTTTATTAATAATATTTTTTAAAACATAAATCGTTGACTACTCATATTGCAACACGTAAAGTAATAACACGATCCGATCATACCCAAATATTTTCCTCTTAGATATATGATTTTTATATTTAAATGTGTGTTTGCTAAGGATATGTAACACATCACATCATTAAAGAGAGAGAGAGAGAGAGAGAGAGAGAATTTAATTATTAAGTAAAACAAAAAGATCAAAATCAACTTTTAATTATACTTAGGGTAAACTAATTGTTACTTACATTATGCACTGTTGCTAAACCAGCAGTTTATGCTTACTATACCTATGATTAACTAAGCTTCTCATGCATGCCTAATTCATGCATATATATACCAAGTGTTTACATATGTTATATTCCCCTTATATTATATTGAGGATCCTTCAAATAATTTTATTTCATGGACACCTTTTAGGGTTTTTGATGAATTTTTTATTATCAATGATCCAAACCATTTATTTTTTAAGTTCATAGATCATCCTGCCAAAAATCATGCAAATTGAAAATCATTAAGGCATCTAGTTAGGACCAACAAAATAGACGAGGACGGTGCTTTAAGAAAAGACAGTAATAACAATAATCAAATTGAGTGGTTAGATTATTTCGGATTCAAGTGATTTTTTTTTTTTTTTTTTGCAGAAATGATCTTTTATGGAATATCTAAAAACTAGACGATTCAGATAATTGAAATACAATGTGTGGCGGACACTACAAGGGTGTCCCTCAAATAAGCTTATTTGAGAGAAATCCATCAACTAAAGCTCTATGTTACCAAAGTATATATTAAATATGATCCATATAATGTGAATTAATCCTCAAATCAAACAGTAATTGAAGGATGATCTTACGTTGAGAATCATCATGCTTTGTGCATTATACACTAACTCTTACTCAAGTAAGATTCAAAATGTAACCAAAGAAAAATGTGGTAATCAGTTGAGAGAGCAATAGTTGATGAGACAGGCTAGGAAGCTAAATGAGTGAACCCAAAGTTAATTAAAGGTTCTCCTCTCTCTCTCTCTCTCCACCCATCTGCATCATACGTATAAAGCCAAATTGAATGAAACATATATACTTTATTAAAGCAGATATGCACCTTTTTTTTCTAAAATTGGAGATTTCAAGAAACATATATAAGGAAAACTAGCCACATCCACACTAGAAGATAATAACAAGTGCACTATACTATAGGAAGGGTTGGAACTTAGAGGGATCAATATAGCTAAGGATATGGGCCATAAATGTTGCAGCAAACAGAAAGTCAAGAGAGGACTATGGTCCCCTGAAGAAGATGAAATGCTAATCAATCACATAAACACCTATGGCCATGGTTCATGGAGCTCTATCCCAAAACTAGCTGGTAATCCCTTTCTCAATTGATTCTTTCTTTTAAATTTATATAAATCTCTCCCTTAATTTCAACGATGTCGTTTCGTGAGCTTGTTCTTTGTTTGGTTTTAATTTCCTCAGTAATATTGCAGGTTTGCAGAGGTGTGGAAAGAGTTGCAGATTAAGGTGGATAAACTATTTGAGACCAGATCTCAAGAGGGGTTCATTTTCTGAGCAAGAAGAGAGAACCATCATAGAAGTTCATAGGATTTTGGGCAACAAATGGGCTCAGATAGCCAAGCATTTGCCTGGTAGAACAGATAATGAAGTCAAGAATTTCTGGAACTCATGCATCAAGAAGAAGCTCATTGCACAAGGTTTAGATCCCAACACGCACAATCTTCTCCCTTCTTCCAAAACTAACCATAGCACCAACAACAACAACATTAGTGAATGCTCATTTTATCCAACTCTGCCTAAACCCTCTTATTTTTTCCCTGTAAATTCACATGTCTCAGATACTTCCATAGACATATTGAAAGCACATTTTCAAGCATTATCTTCTATTTCCTCCTCTCCTGATACTAATCATATCAACCCTGACCACTCATTGCACGGAAGCTCAACCCTATCATCAGTCTACGAATACCGAAACCATAATACGGCTTGGACTCTCCAAGAAAAACTTAATTCAAATGCTTTCATGGAGGCCCTGAATCAACCCTCAGCTGGAGCTAGTGTCCCAACCTCCTCTTGTCACTCATATCCACTATCAGAGCTTGAGATTGTAAATGAGAATTGCAAATGGGGCACTGGTAACTTTGAACCCTCAAAACCTGATCAAGAAATGTTTATGCAACCGCAGAAGGAGAAGGCTTGTGAAGTGGGAATCGAAAAGGCAAATATGTTGATTGATGAGCAGACCAATATGGATGCTTCATTTGGGAGCTCTAACTCTGACTTTGATTTTGTGGAGTCTACACAATTGCCTTATGGATTGTATAATTACCATCTGAGCCCAATGATGGATCAACTTCAATGGAATGGTTAGCAACTTTAGCACTTTCCTTTTGGGGTTGGGGGCTTTTAACATTTGGTTTTGCTTTTGTAATTTTGAGACTCTCCTCTGCAAATATTAATTTCAAAGGAGTGACATAGTGATTTTGACACACATAACAATTGTCAAATTTTAATTTAGAAGCTTAGAATATGATTTTATCCTTCTTTCTTTATTATTATTTTTTAATCTTTTAGAAGAAGTCGTTGTGCAATTATGTACCAAATGTGTGCCAATCTTTTGGCGTCTCGCTGCCAATTCAACAATCGTCACTATTATAATATTATGTTTGTGGTATGGATTTTGTGGTTGTGGTCATTTTTGGTTACTAAGAGCATCCACAGTGGGGGGTGTATATGGGGGTGTATGTTAAATATACACCCCGAGTTATCGGAATCGTCTCCAATGGTGAGATGTAAATGGATGTAAATATACATCACCACCATGGGGATGTAAAATAAAATATATATTTACATCCATTTTTACATCTCTTGCAGGCGGGATCCACCCGAGAAAAGAGAAGAAAAATGAAGAAAAGTCAACATAAAAGGCTGGGACCCACGGCTACACCCCCGAATTTACACCCCCCACT